ACTACTAGTATATATGTAACACTGATTTCCTTCGAATAACTTAGAAATTTTTCTCTTGAACAAGTCATCGAAGCTTGTCTCGAAGAAGTAGCCTTAGCCTATGGATTAGTGTTAGTGATAGTATCAGGCTTTTGAGACTGGTGCTAAGAATAGTTCCATGGTTCAAAGGAACTAAAAATTAACAAAATTAGAAAATCATATTTATACGTTCAAAATCAAATATAATGAAATTCGACAAATGTCATTGACTAGAGAAGAGCACTTTCAAAAGCAATCTCTTGTGGCGCCGATCCTATTTGTAGCGATCTTTATTTGATTTACTTTTCAAGTGACCACTGGGAAGCGCTTTGCAAGTGGTTTTCTTTAAAGCACTTTTCAAAGTATTCTCCAGTCAAACACTTCAAAAGCACAATAAAACAAGACCGCTACAAATTGGATCAGCACCACCGACCAGCGCTTTCTTTTTTACGTTGTAGGGCTGACCGTTGTGGAGCTCGAGAAACCGCTTGAATCAGATATGTCAGATGAAGTTGATGTTAATCAAGTTGTTGTACTTGACATTGATATGCCCAGGTGATTTTTCTGCAACGTAAATCTGCAAAAAATCTTTGCAGTAACTTTGCAGATTCTGCAACGGGTCTCTACAAACAAGTGACAGAGCATCAAACATTTAGGACTTGTTTTGGATCAACATTTAACTTGGAATGATCAATCAGATAAATTACAGAATTGACAAACTAAGTAAAAGAATGAACACCTTGAGACCTTTGCTAACGATATTGGCATGACCGGTTCTCAGACAAATATATTTATCATATATTTTGATCGTTATGGAGTGTGGACTGGTCTTACACAGTAACACAACTCAAGCTAATGTTGACCGATTGCAAAGCCTTCAAAATGAGGCACTTTTGATTGTATCCGGAGCGTGTTGTTGTACGTGTATCGAAAAGTTACAAATTGAGCACGGTATACCATCTGTTACGCAAATAATTCAATATTTCTAAATTAAATTTAATTCATAAAATCGTACACAATCAGTCACCTTCCTACCTAAGAAGCCTAATCACGTTAAAAAGAGATACAAATACTAGACAGACGCGTCACTATATACCAATAGATAGCGTTCCTTCAATATCCAACACATCTTTTGTGGATAGGTCAGTACTGGTGAGCGTTATACATGATTGGAACAAACTATCCTATAAAATGCGATCCATCACAGATAATGAGAATTTCTCTGTAAAACTGAAAAGTTTCCTAAATTTTCCACCTCGGCCACCAGTTTGGTACATCATAAGAAGTCCGGATAAATATCACCCATCTGACCCGCATATCCCTAGGCTTCAGCTTTCTATTAGCAGGCCAATACAAACGTCATTTCGTTGCGACACCAAATTGTACTCGTTGTAATAAGCCCAAAACAGCTGAGATTACTTTTTAAAATGCTTTCGCTTTGTCCACGAAATATCTATCTTGTTGAATAATATAAAATTGATTACTGCGCTACCACAAACTACTGAACTCATTCTAAAAGGATCAATTAATCTTATCCCAGAACAAAACATCCTTATCGTAAACAATGTCCATAAATACATAGTAAAAGGTTCACTTAACTCTTCTTGTGCTACACTATTTGTTGTTACGTCTGATATGTAGAGAGGAAAAGTTTTTTGTATATTACAATCCTCGATAAATAAATAAATTAATGTATCTAATCTACATCAGAGAATTCCTACAAATAAGACTTGAAATTTGAGCATTCCTGATTACACCATGTTTTAGTTGGACTTTTCTTCGAGAACATGACGTAATCTAGAAAAATTGAACTTTACACCACATTATAAACCAAGTGTTTGTAGACAGACAAAAACATTCTTGGGTATTTGTTATTTCAACAATGTCGATGAGACTTTCTGGTTATTAAAACTCCCAACAATTATATATCTTCTCCTTCGTGGTTATTGCGAATGTTCTTATACAAATATGAAGGCTTATTAGTTACAATCAAATACAACATTTAAAATATTATACTAATCTAATGTTTTATCGATCCACAAAATACATCTGAACATCAATTTCAGCAGTAACAACATTTAAAATATTCTTAAAATAACACTATATATGTATACAGCGTTAGGTATTCAGTTAGCTAATGAAGCGCCACAAATAACATCATGATCGTACTAGAATGAAAGCTCCGAAACGATCTTTCTGGTTTCTAGCTGAAGAGCTGGCATTTTTTATATGAACTTATTTTAGAATTTGTATAATTTTGGACACTCTGCTCTGTTTGAATGAGAATGATTATGATATACTCATGTAAAGACATGTGAAAATAAACGTGTGACAAGGACAAGGATCGATGTATTCAGAAATAATTTCAGACAGTCACAAATATCATCTTATACGTATACATGATTTCAACTACGTCGACCTAATGAATAGAAATTAAATTTAATTAAATATTGAAGACAAAAATAATACATATAGAAGTTGTGAAAATACGCTTATTATTGTTATAAAAAGCACAGACAACAATTTGAAATATGATTTGGATCATCAGTTTTGATGTATTCAAAAAATAATTTTTTTGCTTTATCTTCTTTTAGTTTTCCATCTTTGGCTATTTGATTAAAGGCTTTTTCAGCCACATCCGTTTTTACACCAAAAAATCCACAGGTTTTTATCCATTCATCTTTTTCGATAACACCATCATTGTTCAAATCTAACATTTGAAATGTTGTGTTCATTCTATTGCACAATTGTTCAACCAAGTCTGGATTCGTGTCAGGTTTAGTTAATTCATCTTTTAATCGTCGATGAAATTCTAACCATTCATCTTCAAGAAAAAAACAGATAAAATGTGATTCGTCTTTTCTCATTGACACCACATACTTACCAAGTGTCACTTTTCCATCATGATTTGCATCGGCTCGCATTATTTCTGCGCACAATGTTTTTCGTGCCGTTGCATATTGTTCGGAATGTTTTGGGTTGTCTTGACCTATGAGATCCGATAATTTACTAGCAAGAATGTCGAAATCAAGTGGTGTTATTGAACCATCTCGATCAGCATCTAAACTATTGTCATATTTATTAGATTATTAATAATAATATAATAGAAAATTTTCGTTTACCGTATAAATAAAACAAATTTGTCATTTTCTCTTTCCAAAAGCTTTCGGGTTTTGCACTCTAAACAAAATGTATAGAAGAATCAATACAGAATTCAGTGGATGATCGTCTGTGAAGATCAGTGATAGCATTAACTAAATATATGAGAAACAACCAAAAGTGGTGGACATGCACATAACAACTGAGACCCATCACATCTAACTGGAAATACTTTTTGAGTCTGTACTATTTTCCTAGTAGGACAGTGCATAACAAAGTTTCAATTCTCCAGCATATATTAGATGAACTAAATTTACTGAATCTTTGATAATTATCATCCCGCAGAGTTCAGAAAAGGCAAATGATAGAATCATTTCATCTATTACAACTTCCGTAGAGAGACTATTATTTGAATGGCATCAGGACATAAATGAGACTTTTGCTCACCACTTACCATTTTATCAATTCCCAACTGTTTCTATAGTATGTGACAGTCTATTGAATTTAGTATGGATTTGTTATTGTATTCAAAATAGTCGATATATCATCTCTGTTGTTTAATCTTGCAGAATAAATCTAGATGGAAATAAATAGTTACAGAACGAAAATACTCTTCAATTAATGGAATTATACAAAAACAAATTTCTATCTATTCTCTATAAGAAGAGAGGGTTTTCCTAATTTTCTCTTCATAGATCTAAAGAAAGTCCTTGTACTCAAAGAGACAACAAAAAAATAATAAATAGGCTGATAATAGCTGTAGTAAGTACACTACAGAGTTATACTACTTATAGCGTCATTGTTCTTGTTCTTTCCTTTTCTTGTTGAGTGTATTAATTCGGTATAGAAAATGCTGCGAGGACAAATAAAAAAGAAATATTAAATCTAAACTCGTTAGGAGAAATACGGAGATGTAACAGAAGAAATTGCACTATATGTATTTTTTTCTTTCTCTCTTCGCTCTTAGATCGTGGACCGTTCATTCTTTTACGAAAAGATTCCTCATTTATTTGTCTACAAAACTGTGTATAGAAGATGATCCTAAAGTTTGGCACACTGCCTTAATTAAACAAAACACAAAAATATCTTAGAAAATTAAAACATTTAACTCGAAAAACTGTATTTCGTCAGTATGAACTTCAACCTACGCGTTGCATCCAGAACAAATGATTAACATGTAGCACAAAAAATTCTCTATCAATTGGTAAAATGAACAGTCCTCAGTCAAAAATGCATCAATCAGGCTCATTCTTGCGTCATTTTGAAGATTTACTCGATTCAAGTGCGAAACTTTTGGTGGAACTTTTCTGAAAATAATCGAAAAACTAAAACTAGAACATTTTGTTCAATTATGACAGTCAATTATTAACTACACATTTTTATCACGTCCGATCGACGAGGATGAGATGAGTCTTTCGCCATTCGATAGGGAACATCTGAATGTGTCAAGAAACGATCGCAGATGTTCTTCCTATCACTTTCAAAATGGAGTTCAAAATTAAAACCTTTTTAAATTTATAGAACATTGTGATTTGTGTTCAGTTAAGCTAGCGTCTTAAACATGCGGATCATCTCCTATACACGATTTTGTAGAGAAATACATGGGGAATCTTTTCGTAAACGAATGAACGGTCTACAATCTAAGAGAGAAGAAAAAACCAAACATACATGCAGTGTAGTTTCTTCTGTTACACTTGGTGCGTTAACAGAAATGTTTCTATTTCAGTCATAATAGAAAAACAACCTTTTTTCCTGACATCAACATTTCGATGTCTAAATAATTATTACATTCATGGCGTTCGATCGTTTCTTGCACTGAAAGAGAGGGGAAAAAATACCTCCATAAACTGAAAAAAATAGAACAGTTGTAAAACCCATT